TCCGGCTCCTCGGCTGCGTCAGAAGCACACACAAAACGATCGCATGGCAGCGGTACCACCGGTAGCTGCCTTTGAGGCCTAGCTCGAATGATGACGCGAATGTACCTGAAGTTGTCCCGGATATCGGGCGTAAGCTGCGTGGTCGCCTCGTACTGTCGCTCTTTAATGGCCCAGAGGCTCCCTGCCCCGACTTTGCCATACACCCCCTGCTCGAAGAAGTTCAGGATGCCGTAGAACTTGGCGGCTTGACCTGGGTGTAGGCACGAACTTGATTCTGCGTCGGCTAGCATTGAGGAAACCTTCTGTACGATCCTATCGCGCGGCCAAAAGTGCACCGCACCGTCAGAGAGAGCACGGGACATGTCGTGCGCGAGGCCCAGGAAATCCCCACGATGCGACATGGGTTGCCTCTTGGATTCGGCAAAAGGGGTACCCAACAGCGCGTTGAGCTGCCCAAACGCCCACTGACCCGAACCCTTCGATGAAGCCCAGTCTCCCACTGTGGCGTCGTCGAAGTAGAGGGAAACCATGGTCAGCACGAGGCGGCGCCCAAGGGCCTCGACCAGACGAGAGTAGCGGTTGAAAGAGGTCACCGCCAAGGGGAGTCCGAACAGCAGGCCGGCATACACCTGGAACGCAGGCTGCTGCCACTCGTCGTGCCAGAAGCAGACCACACAGGCTCGGGATTCCTCCGAGGACATCGGGGAGTGGCGGGTATGCGTTCGGCCAACCTTCGCCTCCGCTTTGCCAGGAGTCCTCGGCTCGGGCCACCGCAAGGTCCGCCTCGGACATGTAGCTGAGGGTGGCTCGCAAATGCTGGGCCGGCCGGAGCGGGGAACAGAGTACAAGCTTGTTGGAGTCCGCTGAAGTCGCCGACTGACCGCCCTCAGCCGCGTTATCAATAATACGATGCTTTCCTGACCCTTGCGTAATGACGCAGCGGGGTATCACTCTGAACGGTTGTCCTTTCAAGAGCCTTTGAACACCGGCTTGGGACAACGGCTCGGAACAGAAGCCCTGGGCCGCGTCTGCCAGCGTTTGTTCGAGCAACACCTGATCCAAGCGCCCCGGCTTTAGCCTCCGAATTGTCTCGGCATTGTGCTTCTGCCAATCGCCCAGGACCTCCTCGAGGCCGATCGGCGTAGCTCCCTGGACAGGGAAAACCCCGTAGGGCGGTGCGAAGCCAACCGCCGGAAGGCCCTTGACCAGCCCGTGCGCGTAGGTCACGTCTCCCCAACTGGCCAGGATGATGAGCAGTGCCGTCAAGCCGAGGTCCCGCTGCTGGGTGGCTCGCTGCAGTGCCTGTGGCTGCCGGGCACGCAACCGCGTACCAACTGGCCCCCATCGTCGCTTCAGTTCTGTGAGGGCCCCCACCGCGCGCTGGCGCATGGGCCGCAGGGCACCTCTGTGCTTGGCGTTCACCTCAGCAGCAAACAGAAGGTCGGCGTCGAGCACGGGATGAAGCTCCGTCGGTAGCAATTGGGTGCCTAAGTGAAGTGACTGCTCGAAGTG